GGAGGAAACACAGTAGTTTCAACATATTTCAAAAGAAGCTTATGTAGAAACTTTAAGAAAATAGGATTTTTTAATATCGTAAATTTATATAAGAAAAATAACACATTTTACGTTTTATCCTGTGTATTAAAAAGAATGCCCTAGGATCAAAAATCCAAGGGATTCTGTCGACGTATCAATTTCCGGCGCTAGTATCGGGAAATATTGGATAAAAGTTTCGAGACACGATCCACAATGATGACAACGTGACGTAAAGAGAAAATAGGGATAAAGAAATCGATACGAAATAGGAAGGGAAAGAGATAATTCCTTCTAGGCGATGTACATATATCACCATATATGTGAAGATTGTGACAAGTCGATACTTATTATGCGTGTATCATTTTTATCGTGGAAGGGGAATTTGATCATCTTGTTGATCTCCTTTTGGTTTCTTGTCATTAAAAATTAACAATAACGAAAAAAAAAAAAAACAAAATTCAGCGCGATCTCTTAATATTTTACTTCTCTTTTACATTTTACGTACGAATAAAAAGCGAAGAAATATCGATGAAATTATTAATAAAAAATAAAATTGAATAAGGGTACACGATAAGGTCACGACGTTACATAAGTGACTCCGGGGACGGAGTCTAGTTTCGAAGTTCAATATCAAATTTCTTCGAATTCTCACAACTTTAAGTTTTATAGAGTTGGAGGAAGGTGTAGTGTTGATGCATCGCCGCTATATCTGTCCGTATATAAGTAATAATATCGTAGAGATAAAAGTTTCGTTTTTAATTTCTGAAAAATTGTTTCAAACCGATCGAACTTTTCCTATCCAGTGATAATACACTCGATTCTAAATAAAACTAAAAATCCATTTTTATAAATCTATTAATCCAATTCCTTCGATGCTATTTATATCGATCCATTTCCAAACTTTCATAACTTCTATATATATTTCTCAACTCATCTCACGTTGTCCAAAACGAGTTCCGTAACAATCTGACGTCTCAATAATTTGTATCAGACAATTTTCACGAATTTGCACGAAATTGCTCATCGTGCAACGATCTCTCTCATCGAATCGTTTAATTTTCTCGAAGAAAACTCGTACTCCACGTGGGGATACACACACAATTGCCAAGTTTCTCTTTATCGTCATGCAACGTGATTTTTCAACCAGCAAATAATTGAGGTTAACCAGATGAAAAAAACGTCATGGAGAATTCTCGCGTTATCACGAGAAAAAGAAACATTCACACCGTAAAATTAAACTACTCGAGAATTGGCCCAGTTTCAACTAATAAATGTAACTTACCATGTTCACAGGATGTTGCACTAGGCAAGCATTGTCCCTGGATGGTATCGCATGCTTATGACTGGTTTTACCAAGCCCCAGCTATTTTGGTTCTCTGCGTGAACGTGGTGTTCCTCTTCATGATAATGTGGGTGAGTGCAATGTGAATTTCTGTCTATTGGATGAGAGAAACAAACGTGGGTGAGTAAAGAATAACGATACGAGAAGAAATATTTTGTCGAATTTTTGAAATATATATGTATATGTGCACGTGTAATGGTATACGTGTATAAAATAACAATAAGTAATATCGTAAATTATTCTAAGAGGATTTGTATCGCTTGTAATAGCTTTAAGGAAAAATTAATAAAATTAAAATTGGATAAACATTAGAAAATATAAATAAAAAAAATATGAATCAACGGGATAAAAATTATTCGATTACTTAAATATCAAAAGCATTTTTATAAAATATAAAAATTCAATGGGATGCGTTTTATTAAGAATTTCAATCAGAAATCGGTATTATTTCTTAAGTGTATGAATTTGAGGATTAAATAAAGATAAAGAAAGTAAACAGAGGAAGAAGAATAAAATTAATCGATAAAAAAATATAATATTGAAATCAGTGCCATCTAAAGGGCTGCAGATGAAAGTAATATGAACAAGGAGAGCAAATAGTGACAAGGATGGAAATAGATTAAAAATATTGAAATCAGCGCCATCTTTAGAGTGCCGCAAATGAAACACACAAAAAAAAAAGAATAGAAAATAGTGGAAGAAAGATAGAGATAGGATAGAATGAACTATTAACGCCATCTTTATGTAAATGAATATAATAGCTTGACATCACTTTCTAAAATTTTAAAATATAACTTTTCTACTGCAATAATCATCACACGATTATCTCACAACAAATATTAATAAAATATAAAATGATATCTATTGCCCACTTTAAATAATCAACATATCCAAAAGAAATAACATAAGAATTAAACTACACATATTGCGTAGTTGATTTCTAAAAAATTAATCTTTGAAGCATCGATTACCAAATCTCATCACGAGAAGGTGACTACGGTATCGAGATCCACCCGTGGAAAAAAATATTACAAGCACAATATATTAAAATAAATGAAAATATTAAATATATATTAGAAAAGTCAAAAAATAATTAAATAAATAAATAAATTGGTTATTTACAAATATAAAAAGAAAATTGAGAATATTAAAGTAAGAAATATAGAAAGAACGCATATATCGTGTCGAAAATTAAAAAAAAAATTATACATACAAAATACAATAAATTTAAATTATAATAAAAAAATTAAAGTTAAATCCATCGTTGTCTTAAACTTAATCTAAACCTTAATACTAAATTTTAAAATCTATTTGCAGCATTCGTATCAAAAATACTCTCGTCTAACTTAAAACGAAAGAAGACAAATTCAAAATGTTGATCAATTATATATAAAAAAAAATTGCAATTCTCGAAACACGAAATGCTCGAAAAAAGAAACTAACGACAAACGAGGAAAATAGATATTGAAGAAAAATCTAAGATGATCGATAAAAATAAAGGAAACATTCAACCCTCTCTGAATCATCATATGTCGCCCTCACGATTTACATCAACGGACTTACGAGAATCGTCGGACAGATTGCCAGTCATGACCAGTCGAGGATTACGACAAGGGTCTAACAGCCGAACATTTTACGTCTTGACGACGCAGGAAGGAGCAAAGGATAAATCCCTGACCACCGATTTACAAGGACCGCGAGACCTGACTTCGATCGAGCGTCAAAAGACATCAATCGATCAGATCGCAGACCTTCGACTGACCACCGAAAATAAAGCAACGGTCCAACGATTCTTGCGACGCGATTCGAATTTGAAAAAAGCGAAAACGAGCTAAGAAATTGTGAAGAAATAAAAATTCGAGAAGAGAACACGATTCGAATAATGTGAAAAAGTATTCGAGATGAAAGTAGAGGAAAAATGAAAACAAAAGATTCGTAAATCTTAAATCTACTGGCATCATCTGTGTCAAACATACGCTCCACTGTTTAAAACGAAATAAGAAAAATCTAATTAATTATTGGATCCATATTACAAGTATTAACTACAATCATTGCTAAAAGGAAGAGAAAGAAAAAGAGAAAAAACAAACACAAGAGGAAAAATGAATGTTCAACAAGAAACAATATAAAAATCTAAAGAAGAAAAAATAATGAAGAAATTAAGAAAATTCGAAATTCGGAATTCAATTAATAATCAACGGTTAATGTAAATTAATAATAAAATAAAATGTTAAAAGTTGAATTAAAATAAAATTGAAACTTGAAATTAAACATTGAAAGTAAATTAAAAATTAAAAGTTAAAATATATTAAAAATCAAAATTAAAAATTATATTCAATTGAAAATGAAGAATTAATGTAAATTAATAATAAAATAAAATTGAAAATTGAAAATAAAAATTGAATAAAATTAAAGGTAAAAAAGTACATTTATTAAAAATAAAAAATTAAATTAAAATGAAATTATAAAAGTTAAAATATAAATTAAAAGTTAAAAATTAAAAATTAATAACTAATTAAATAAGAAACGAATAATAATGTAATAATTCTATTAATTTATAATTAATATTATATGTATAAATTATAATTAAAAGATATCTTTTAATTTGATCGGATCGAAAGAATCGATGTGTCTCTCGCGACGGCTCGAGACAAACTAATTATTAAGCCGTAATCGTCTTTCTCCGAGGTTAAGCGTACGCCGCGCGCGAGGTCGCGACACAAATTTAAATATATATTATGAAATCGATATCGATAAATGATTTTTCTATTATAATTTATCAATTATTTAATAATTTTTATATTTTTCATTGTTAATGTATATTATCAATAATTGATTACAATTATTAATGTTACAATTTACGTTATTTTTTTATAAGAAAAATTGCACTTATATTTCTATGGCATTTTTTAATTTTGTTTTCACAATATATTTTTTATATTTTTTTAAGACTGATTATCAATTGTAATAGTTTTACAAGTTGGAAATTCTAAGATTATTTAAATTTTACGTAAAAGAACGTGTTATTTAATGCACATTAGAAAATAAATTAAATAAAAATAATTATAAATATAGGTCCATTTTCTTTTTCATATTATAATTTTTTAAATGATACATATTTACGTAAAAATGCATAATACGTAATGATTGGTACAGTTTTTAAATTTCAATTTATAACACACTAATTTCTTTGTTTTTAGATTAAAATTTCCGTAATTATTTTATATAAAAATAATAAATCATACTCTTCCATTTTTAAATCTCGTTTATTTTTCAATTCAACATTTGATTTTATCATTTTAATATCATTTTAATCTCTCATCTATAATAATCATTCTAAAATCGAACTTTTAATTATTTTCCAAAAAAAAAAAAAAAATAAGCTTTCCAGCTTTAGAAAAGTTTCAAATTTCCAAAGTTTTCTAATTCGAATTTCACGATTCTAAAAATCAATTTGAACTTACGCTTTATCATTTTTTCTTAAAATAAAATAATAAACATTCTTCAACAGTTTTGAAGAATTTTTAAATTTCCAGATTTAAAATTCTAAAAAAAAAAAGAATCCAAAAAATCAAATTCCATAGAATTTATTCTTCCTTTGTACTACACTTCCCTTATAAAATTTTCTCCCCTCCAGGTGCTGATAACGAAGCTCTGGTCCGCGACGAACGTGGAAACTCAGCAATACAGGAAAGCGAGCAAAGCATTGCTGGTTCTGATACCGCTCCTCGGAGTGACTTACGTCCTGGTGCTAACAGGACCGACCGAGGGTCAGGTTGCTAATGCATTCTCCTACGCTCGAGCCGTGTTACTTTCTTCTCAGGTAATGCGACCAGGAAAAAGTATATCTCGTTACGAAAACTTCGCCTCGCTCGGAGGGAAAAAAATTCAGAAAGAAAGTGGTTCATCGCGAAATGTTACTTCCATCTTTGATCAAACGTGAATATACTGTTCGAGAATTCTCTTTGATCATTGTTTAATTCCCTTTCTCTTCTGTTCTTCTGAACGTTTAATGCGAGTAGACGATTTTAAGACGATTTTGTTCACGTTTGTTCGATTTTAAAAACTGAAAGGTTCGATTTAGGTTGGATTTTTATTTTTTTACTTTTTGGAAGATTAACCAGGATTATATTGGATAAGATATCGATTCGAAGTTTTAATAAGATGGAATTTGGAGTAAAATTTGAATAACATTTTAAAAATGATCGATTTTAATTTTTCCAAAGATTGTTTCCTCGCGAATTGCAATGGTTTAATACTTTTTTTCTTGTATACTGTACTTGTAATCGTACTAATTAATACAATGTTTCGTGTATTTATTATTTGTGCTTATTCACAAATGTATTGATATTTACAATTTGTATTTAACAGATTTCGCATGTTTGTACATTATCAAATCAGTGTAATCCTTGTTTTTTCAATATTCCTTCCTATCACTGAGAACTTGTACAAACGTATCTTATGTAATCGAGAATTGACTCTTTTTATTTTTTGCAACAAAGTCGTATAATTTGGAAAAAAAATTAATTTGTGTCGATTCGTTGTTGTTTAAATTTTGAAACTTAAGAATTTTAATCCCTGATTTTGGGATCTTTCTTTTCCTCGTTAGTGCCACGATTTTCCTCTGAAACAATAGAAAAAGATACATTGAAATTTTTATAAAGAAACATAATAAGCATATATTTTATGTAAGAAACAAAACAGTTGGAAAATTAATAATAATTTCTTAAGTAAAAAAGAATATTTAAAAAAAGATTCAAAAGAACGTTGTTAAGATGGAGGGTCTTTCGACAATTCAAATAATGTTTAAATAATGTTTATTTTAAAAGAATATTTTCTATTTCTATTCTATTCACGATTTAATCCATGAAAACGAATTATTTTCAAATATTTTTCCATAAATTTTCTTGATATTTCATTTAAAATGGCGAACTTTGAAACCTCATAGATCTTAATACGTATTTATCTTTAAAAAAATCTGCAAAGTTTTATATAAAATTCACGAACCTATAATTTTATAGACATACGATCAAATTATTGATAAATTACGTAATATCTCTTTTACAAAATTTTTTCTTTCATCTATTATCTGTTTCAAATTTGTTCTCTAAAAATTTTGTATATATTAATTTCGTTATTTAAAAAAAAAAAAAATGGATTAAAGAAAGTTTAGAAATGAAAATTTTAATTTTTAAATAGCCATCATAAATCTTGAAACCTTCTTTTTTATGGTTCTTTGATAATTTTGTAATAAATTTACGAAATTTTTCTGCAGTAATATTCTATCAATAGATATCGACCCAATTCATCAAAATTTATAATAATTCGAAAATAATTCTACGAATAAGAAAAAAAATTAATTTTAAAATTAATTAATAATATAATTATAATAATAATAATAATAATAGAGAGTTTTTATAAAGTCCTTGAAGTATCAGATAAAAGAGTTAAAATATTTTATATATTCTGATAATAGTCTCTACGAAAAAAAAATTTTTAACAATTAATATTCTCGATTTAATTTCAAATTTTAATTAATTTTAATTATTCGAAATTTGAAAATTCTCCGTTCAACTTTTTAATCATTCTCAATAGAACGTTATTATTAATAAATAACAAATTGATTAAAAAAAAACACAGAGTCCACAGAGACAAAGTAAAAAAATCGAAAATTAATTTTCTTTCAAAAACGTTAGAAATGTTAGAATCACCGATATCACATCTGAAATATAAATTTACATATTTAACATTTTCAGGGACTGTTCGTCGCATTGTTTTACTGTTTCCTGAATACCGAAGTACGAAACACGGTGAAAAGCCACATCGAACGTTGGACCACAGCCCGCGATCTCGACACAGAAAGAAGGTATTATAACAATTGGTCTCCCCGTTCAAGAACAGAGAGTATAAGGTATTCTATTCCCTTAATCCGTCTAAATAAATCACTTAACTTTCATTTAACCTCTTTCGACGTCGTTCAATTTTCGTTCGAGGAATATTTTCATTGGGTCACGAATAAATAGATTTGAAAGTAAAACTTTCGACAATCGCTCCCGAGAGTTTATTCTTCGCTGATGGACTCTGCATCGAGCATAAAAATTATATAATAATTTTTCGTAATCGTCAAACTTCTGAAAAACAAGTTTGAAGGATTAATAATTATAATATATTCGAGAATAAAATTCTCGAGAGTTATTATTCGCTAGTGGATACCCCGTTGAAACTTCTAATTTCTGAACAATGCGATGCAATATCCATTCGTAAGAAATACCCTCGAGAGAAACTCTTCAAAGTTTTATTCTCAAACGTATTCACACCTTTCGTTCGAAGAAAATAATAAAAAAAAAAAAAGAAAACTCGCGACGAACAATTATGCGATTTTCGCGAATTGAATCGTTTAAAATATCAATTTGTATAGATAGAAATATAATATGAAAAGTTGAAACGCTTAAATGGGGACGATTTAATATACTTAAACGTTTTTGGATTTCGTTAACGATTCAATTTACAGATTGTACTGTCCACCATCGAATCCATACAGAAAAAGGGACTCGTCTGTAAGCGAGACGACGACTACAACCGTTGTTGGATTAAACTCGACGACCACATTTCTAGATAAATCGAAGAAGGCGATCTCGGAGGATATGAACGAGTAGGAATGATTTTGATTCGAGTAAAGAAATTTCCTCGAAGAATCGATTAATCGTCGAAAAATATTTCAAGCTGCATGCACTTGAAAAAGAGATACTCGAAAGCTAAATCAACATCCGAAAGAATGTCTCTATTTTATTTCTTTATTTCGTATAAACTGTTGACTCTTTTTTTAATCTGATATTTGAAGAGTGAAATGCCTATCTGATGAGATGGGAAATTGTTGTTTATTGTTTAAAAAAATATATGTTTGCGAATTTTTCATAGTTATAGGGAGGAATATGGATTAGAAAGCGAATTAATTATTGTGAATGTTATAAGCGATGAAAGCAAGAGGAAATAATAATTGAAGGAGAAAAAGATTGAAACGTATATATCTTGTTAAAGAATTGTTTATGAAAGAATTGAAAAAAATAACGTGAAAATATTTATTTATTTATTATTTAGTATAGCATATGCTATATGTATATGCCTGCTTTTTGATATTTTCATTTTCGTTAGAACTAATTTTTACTAGATTCTTCAATTTTTCTTTTTTGTTTTGTTTTATATATAATTACATTTAATTTACAAATATTTTATGATACAAATTGATTGTGAATTGATGAGTACATTTTATATGTATGTATATATGTATATATATATTTTATATATATATATATACACGTATATATTTGTCTTCTTCATTTTCGCAATAAATTTAATAAAACAATATTGATTTAATTTCATTCATATGTAAAAATATCCGAAAACAAATGCAATAAAACGATACTTCAAATGAAGTGACCAATTCTTTCAACCTTTTCGTTGATTTTAGTTTTACAATCAATCCTTTTTTTCATAATATATTTACATATACATATATATTTATAGGATTATCAATAATTAATTAACTTTACAATCTGTATCTCCCTAAAAAATACTTGTATCAAAACATTTAATATAAAATATAAAATTGTTTCTTTTTTATGAATAACAAATCATCTAAAAAATGTTTAATCCCTTTGATTTCTGTTAAAACACAAATGAAGAAAAATGCTTAATAAATCTTTGAAATAAAAATATTAAATTTATCTCTAATTCTTTAAAAATTGAATTAAAAATTGAATTAAAATAAGACAGAAAAATAAACAAACGAACAAAAATAAAAGTATTTTTCGAATTTTTACTGATGCAAGGGGTGAATCTGTATTAAAAAAAAAAATGAATCAAAAATGTAGAGCAACGTCTATTCTGAATAAATTACTATATATAGATAATTGTCAGATATAAATAATTGATAAAATAACAAAGTAAAAATTAAAAGAAACCAAAAATTAAAATTTGTAAAATAATTCTTGCACAATTGCTACGAATTTTATCTGAATTATTTTAAAATAAATATCGTGATTATAATTAGAATAAATATTAACAATAAATTTAATTAATTTATCAGATTAAGTAAACAAAAATTTTGTGCGAATATTTTGTGAAAATATCCTAATTTAAATTTTTGAATTTTATCAGATATGTTAACTATAATACAAACTAACAATTCCGATCAGTAATGTGGATGGATTCACCCCTTGAGCTATACCACATGTTTTGCGACATATATATATGTATCGATTCGTAAGGAATGGTTGGAGAAATTAAAAAAGATCCTAAGGTATGCGGCAATGAGTTAACATTTTTATTTCGAATTACCATTTGCGTTAGGAAAAAGATGCCCTCTCATTCTTTTGCATTCACACATCCATTCGTGCTTGTCATTTTTGCCTCCCTCCACATTCGCTTCCCTTCATATCTCTCCTCTTTCCTTCTTTTTTTTTTTTTCTTTTCCTTTCTTTAATTTCTTTATTTCGTTTTAACGTATTGTTCAGGCTCAAGAAAAACGCGAACGCGTTCGTATTCGGAGGAAAATCAATTTCCCTGTTTTAAATTCTACGACACCCATCACCAAATTTCCACGGGGGGACTCCTGTAAAAAAGAAAAGTTTGTGAGAATTCTTTTTTTTTTTTTATCCATTTTGTTTCTTCATCATCCAGAACATGGTACATTATCAATCTTTTTCTCGACAATTTATTAAATGATAATATTTAAAATAAATTATAAATATGAAATAAAGGAAAATGAAAAAAATTACTTGAGAAAAATTTATTACAAATAAAACTGGATAAAATTTATATACATTGGCATGAATAAATTATGTTAACGTATCAAGATTATGCATTTTAAAATTTATTAATATCATTCGATATATTTGATAGATACATATGAATATATCCTCTATATATTTATTATAAATATATATATATTATAATAAATCATATAAAATCGTTATATGATAAGAAAGTTATTTTAAACTATTATTAAAACTATTTCTAATTATTTTACCCAGTTTCTATTTGCAATTGAAAAAAAAAAAGATAAATAAATAAAAGAATCATAAAAAATTTTTTTTTCGAAAAAATATTCATCCATACTATAGTATGTGTTGATATCTCTGGTGCGAATTTATATAAAAAAAAGAAAAAATTTTAAATATTAAATATTCTGTCAAATTATTTTTTAAGTAAGTTAAAACACAATTTATATATCCGTAGAAACAAATACAAGAACTCTCCTTTTCTATTATTAAATATTTACATCTATTAATAATTAAAATTTAAAAATTTACAATAACAAATAACATTTGAAAAAATAAAAACTTTTAAACTTAACTATTACAATTAAAAATATATAATTTGTTTATATTAAATATTTTTTTCTTTTTTCGTTTTAGAAATATTATAAAATATGATAAAGAAAAAAATAAATAAAATAATAAAATAATAATAAAATATTTATAAAACAAATATCACGTATCAAGATTGAATAAGAGAGAAAAAATATTTATTATTATAACAAATTGTTAATGAAAACATTATTTATTTTGACTTCATTGCGAGAAAGCTTTGTTGAGTATCGAAAATATATTGTAAATATGTATTAACAATCGCTTCCGTAAAACATTGGGCATCATTATATTCCCAAATTCGTGTACATATCGCAAAATTTTTCATTTTATCTTATTTAATGATATCAAATTAACCGATTACTATATTTTATATCTATCAAGATTTATAAAATGGTGTTACACAAAATTTTATGCGTGTGCATGTAGCTATACAAAATTTTAAGAGCATTACATTATGATCGACATTATATTATGAAATAATGATTTAACTATCTTTGGAA